AAAAAAAAAAAAAAAAAAAAAAAACCGTGCCGGACCTCATAATACCAGGATGGAGTTAAACATTATTCAATATTCCGTGGAACTCACCTCTCAGCAGATAAAGGTGATGAGTATGCAACTCCTGCAGGTAGATTAAAAAAGATCTTTTTTTAAACTCTAGATCTATAAAGCTAAAAATCACGCGGAAGAGAATTCCTGAGATGCGTGCGTATAGTTAATTACTAAGTTTAGTAAACTTTATAAAATATAATATTTAGGCTATTGCTAATACTTTTCATAATTCAATAGATATAACACAGATGCTCTACTTTTAAATAGTACTACAGAACTAGTAGTCATATATGAATATTATGGTATTAGCACTACAGCCTACACTCCGTTTATTAATTAACAAAGCTCTGCACCAAGCTGCTCTTTCTATCCTCTTATTGACTGTCTATACTTGAAAACTACCTGGTTCAAGTCTAATAGCGAGCAAGTTAGTATATCTCACCAGGCCTATAAAAACAATGCAAATAAAGTTATAGATATCAAAGATGTCATATATCATTCACGATTAATGAATTAATATGTCGTCAGTGAGGATTGAAGTTATAGAAAGTGAAGAAATCCTCGATGGATATGTCATAAACAGAATAACTCCTCAGTGATCTTGTGTGCCTGCAATTGCAGCACTTGAGCAACTGGCTTGACAAATTCACCAAAGTAACAGACTTTATACATGAGTCGTTCAGATAGAACATCGTAAACCAAACTGCTCTATTGCCTTGGCATCTTTCGAACTTTCGAAACCCACTATATCTATCATTCTTCGTAGAAATAACCCTGCCAACTTTGTAGACATTGTGTCGTGATCTGAAATATTCCTTAATGTTCAGTTTCCCCGAAAGTCTCAAATACCGCTAAGATCAATGCTTCAGAGCAAGATATTAACAGCCAAAGTATTCCAGCAACATCTTCAAATGCGTAGCCAAGTAAAATAAAATATTCCAACGACTACTCAACACCCAACCTCCCGAAACACTAGCCACTCACAAGAGACATCTGCACATGCCTCATCTGCGCATGATTCAAGTTGCCCGCCCCTTGAATCCAACACCGTAAATTGTGTCCTGCCTTAAGAACGAGGGTCGTACTGATAAGCTGAATGGTTCTACTGGTTATGCGCAACCTGCACAGCTCATTCGCACCAGACAAATCAAAGGTAAGCTCCTTGAGACCATGGTTCCTTGGTATAATTCTGCAGGCAACTCTCCAGTTCTCCATGAGTGCCCGCAGGTCGACGCGTTTTGAATTTTCGTCCAAGGCTTCTTTGAGAGTCAACTTTCCCTCTGCGAAGTACTGTAGGAGATCGAGTCGCAGCATTTTCATGCCCTGGCAGATGGCCACACTGGCGGGGTCGGGATCTTCGAGGAGCTTGTGCAGGTCAAGTGGATTTTGGAAGATAAAGCGGTAGGTTGAAGGGTTTTTCAGGACTTTACCGATGGGAACAGGCGTGGGTTCTGATTTAGTGCGGTAGAGACGCGCGAAACTGATTGTTCCATTGTTGGCAACAGTTGTTAGAACATCTATTATACGCATCTCTTTGGTAAATTTCATTTATGAGATGTAAGGGGGAATGAGTAGGATGATGCTGAGATACTCAGCTTTTAGATAGTAAGGAGTTATGTAGTGTTATAGTGAGGAAGGTCTCCTTCGAAGTTTGAGGTCGAAGCTTGAAGAGGGCAGATACAATGTTACTACATTAGGCCTATGTCTGAACTTATATATGCATAACTACGTCCCTCTGTCCCGCCTCCACGTAGTGTACCAGTGTAACGTGTACATTTAGAGCGCTGTGAATTGAATTGCCAAGCTTGATTGTATTGTTAATAATATAAATATCTTTCTTTCTTGGAGCTACAAAGAAGAGCCATTCTACACTCTTCTGGTCTTCTGGACTCTATTTTCTACAAGCCCCACCAGGAACGACGAGCCGTCTTGGGTTATAATAGATCAACTCATCAACTACAGAACTATCATACTGAATAGTGACTAATTAAAGACCCCCTCTGTTTGCCAAAGTCTACGTCTCAGTGGAGATTTGCTCTATCGCTTGCAATGGCAACTTGTTTCCTTTATTCGATAACAATGCCAGTTTCTTCAAAGGAAACTGGTGTATCAAACAAACTATGCGGAACAAAAACAAGTTCTCCTATTTTATCAGATATTACACACATTTCACACCCCAGCAGGTGCATTATATAAGCAAATACTAGCTCCTGGAACTTCAATACTATTATACTTTAGCTTTATCTTCTTACCTTTCACCGATTATGCCTTCCATCTCTGAACACTCAACCGTTCTTATATCCAGGCAACTAGGTGAGAACCTTGTATCACAGATGACATTTGCAGATTAAATCATTGAGAGCATTGCATGTCTTTTAGTGATATGGTGTTCTTGAACCGTTATTAGAACTGTTTACGAAGTGGATCAGAATACAAGACTGCATTCTAGATATATTGGTAGAAGAAAGCTACACTACGTTGAGACAAATTAAGCTACGTTGGGATCTGCCCTCAATTCCTTCCGTACTCGTACATTCTCATTAAGATAGTACAGCATTTCTCAAGCTATATTATTGTTCTGAATGGACGTCTTCCTATAGCTCTCAATGTCCAAATGTATACAAATGCATTGATTGATAATGCACGTGCACAGACCAAGCAGCCGATAAGCCTTAGCTCCATACGTTCAACCGACACCGCCTTCCCTTCTCTTCTTTCTATTCTCATCAACTGCTGCGTATCAGCGCAAAGCTACAGCTACGGTATGACACCCTTTCCCGTCCTAATTGAGAGCCTTTGAAGGTGTGCTTGAGTTAAAAAGATGCAATGCTAACACTGGGTTGCAATTACACCCAAAGACAGTCATGAGTGACCGATCCACATCCACACCGCAGCGCGGTCCATCTCCGTCCAAACCACGACCGAAATGCACACTGCCACCTGAAAGGGTCTTCTCCATTCAGATAGGAACGGAGCTTTTCCGTGTCTCGGGAGCTTCAATAGCCTCCGATGGTCAGTGGCTCTCCGATCTCAGTGACTGGTCCCCGCTAAAGTCTTGGAGCTCCATCCTACTTCTCTCAATTCTTCGAGGAGCAACTGCTCCACACACCCGACGGCTCAAAGGTCAGGACACTGTACATCGATCGTGACCCGAATACGTTTAAAGCGATCGTAAGACATCTACAGGGTAGGCGCGACATAGTGGAATCGAATTATGCTCGGTGTTGACGTTCTCATCCGATGCGACAGGCTATCATATTCGGCCCAAAGATGGCACGGAGTTCGTCCAATTCTTCGCTGATGCGCAGTTCTATAGTTGTATGTCTATCGCATTTACCAGGAATATTGGAATCTACAACTAATCCGTATTGATTGTAGTGCCGCGCCTCATCTCTCAACTCTTCGAATCCGAGATCTTCATTCGAATCGGCGACAAGGATTTCCAAATCCCGCGCGACATCTTCTCTAGTCCCGGCGACTCTCCAAACTTCTTCACTCTAGGCTTCGGTGCCTTCTTTGCCTCCCCCACTGAGATCTTCCCCGGACTAAACCGCCACGGTCTTTTACGTCCCCCAGCCATTGTCCCGCCAAGCGTGCCCAATCGATCGGGAGAAATTTTCGCGCAGCTCCTTCACCTCCTGCGCGGATATCCCTTAGAGATAAAGAATGAAACGCACCGCGCCGAACTGCTACGCGATTGTCGCTACTTTCACCTGCGCGGGTTAGAGCAAAAGCTGATTCCACACCATATCAGTTTCAATCCGATCCGACAACGATCGGAAATCCTCATCCGCCTGGAGGATGTGCGCCGCTCAGGAGTGAGCGTTGCCCACGACTCAACCCCGTCCAGCGGTTGGGTCACGTACTCGCGCCCGTTCATCGATGAGGAGACACACGACCTGATTCTTGAGATCGGTGACGAAACCACCATCGTCGATCTTGATACCAAGCATGTTGCATTCCTGAACTCGACCAGGGCGCGCTTCTCCAGCTTGCTGCAGATTATAACGGGAAAGGTAAACCTGCCAGACCTGTCAGAAGGCAGTGTCAAGGTATCTATCGAACGAGACACAGACTTGATTGTCGACGGACAAGCCCACTATTCAGAAGCCTTCGGACATGGATCGGAAGAGGCCGAAGTGTCGCAACCTGCGGCTAAGCGCAGACGAGTGGAAGGATCATCAAGTGAGGGTGGACGGCATATCGTCCGGAATGGCCATTGGCGTCTGCGCTTCCACCCTAACGCGACCGGCGACAGACTCGAGTTCATTTTGGTAGCGGTGAAACTAGATGCATATACAGAGCAACGGAGTCGGAATCATACACGGGCGTTTCTAGGGTCTTAGCACTAATATATTCTGAATTATCACACGCATCATCTTCCATCTACGCCCTGTGAACATTTACATATCCAGAGTAAGGGCCATTGTCAAACATACAACAATCATAAATCCAAAACAAAATAGAAAAAAGATAATCGAATTGTCCCATTCCTAATACAAACAATAAAACCACCCTCAATCACCACCACAAACACCAAATCCCCCCCTATAAAAACATCCCCTCATCTTTATTATCACCATAATAATCATGAACTACGGCCCACAGAACCCAACCCCCAATCCATTCCATAACACAGAAGAAACCCCAATCAAACCTATTCACTATCATTATCCTCAGTCAACGCCTTCAGGATCATTAACCCCTCCTCCGCATCCTCGTCATTATACGGTTTCAACCCAAAGCTGAAGAGGAAGGATGTCCATCCGCCGTAGGACTTGACGATGGATCGTTCGGCGGGTGTGAGGGGTGGTTCTGGTTGGTTTCTGTTAGATTGATTTCTTGGGGTGATGGGGAGGTGTTGCTTTATAAGGGGGGGGGCGGGTTGTTAAATTGGACGTACGGAGACAGTCAGTTGAGGGCATTTTGGAAGTTTTGGTATGAATTTGGTATGAATTTGCTGATTTAGGGGGAGTTGGTGGATGTTTTGATGATGTTTTGATGATGTTGTTTGGTGTTATTAGTGGTTATGGAGGTTTGAGGTTTGAGGTCAAGTTATTGTCTTGGTTGGGGAAGTGATAGATCGTAGTAAGTAGTAGTTGAGGGGAATGTGCATACAGGGCAAACATTGCGTTGGATGTGTAGTTGGTACTTCTTTATGATATAGGTTGTATGTATGTATACCTTGGGTATAGCGGTGGTTTGCATGTATGTATAGGGAGTGAGTGTCTTGCGTTTGTTACGGGTACTTGGATGTTCGCTCTGGGATTATTTTAAAATGAAGTGAGAATGTAGTAATGTTATTTACAAGGTGAAGTTACTGGCCGTTGTGACAAGAGGGTCTTCTATAGTAAATATACATGGAGTATACTTGAAGCTTAGTGCAAGGTAGACCGACTGTCAGGCCTAGTCGGAGAAGCCTCCCCATTCGTCTTCCTCTTCGTCTTCATCTTCGTCTTCGCCATCTTCATCCTCACTCTTGTTCTCATGTCCACGCTGAGGATCCTCCACTTTTCCAGCTAAACTCTCGTCTCTCACAAATCCAGCAACGAAGAATCCACCGAGCCCCTCGTCATCGCCGGGCCAACATCTTAAGCAACCCTCCAGCTCTTCATCGGAAAGGTCAACTTTGAGTTCGGCGCTCTGGGTACTGTCCTGTGTCTCACTGTCGTCAGAACTCCGGCTTTCAGTCCGGACACCTCTATGTTTCCACGTCCTCAATCCCTCCGGCTGCTCGTCCCTGCGCATAATTCTCCATCCACATCGCTTGGCCACTTCCGACGCCAAAAGCCGCTCGACAACCGACTCATTCTCAGTCAGATGAATAGAACAGGTGCTGTACGTAATGCGCGTAGCATTCGGAAACGACATCGCATGCTCCACAATGCGCGTCTGCAGATTCGACAACTTCGTCAACCGTTCCAGGTCCAACTTCGTACTGGCCATCTCGTTCTCGTCCGTAGCTGACATCGACACCGACCCATCTGCACCATCCTCGGCTTCATCCTGTCCCCTCTTCCGTTTCTTCCCCTGCTTCTTCCGCTCCTCCGCCGGCGAAACGGGGAGAACAAACTTCGGAACATCATCCCGCCCAATAATCCCACTCCCCGAACAACTGGGATCCAGCAACAACGCAGAAACCTTCTCAAACCTCTCATCCTCGGGATCCAGCGCCAAAAAGTCCTGCCCGGGTAGCACCGTGGTAAAGTGATCCGCGCCCGCCGCCGAAACCATCTTCTGAAGCGTCTTCGCGCGCACCTGCGACGCATCCATCGAAATAATCCGCTGTCTCGGCTTCTTCCTCTTCTCATTCTTGCACAGCAGCGACGCTAAATGCGTCGTCTTATTTCCCGGCGCAGCACACCCATCTACCAAATCCCCGCCACTCCATACACTCCCCTCTCCGAACAAAAGGTACGCGGGAAAGCACGACGCTTTATCCTGCAGGATGATCTCCCCATTCTTATACGCCGGGGTGGCCGTGAAGTCAACGCCGGGAGCCACAGCAACCAAGTCCGGGATATTGGGGTCGATAAAGATCCTCTTCGTGTCGTCCTTGACCACTAGCTCTGATAGCGCATTGACCCGTTTATACGATGCGAATGTACTCTCGAACTGTTTCTCCGCCGTCGTGCGCACATTGTTGATTCGTATCCACCGCGGGTAAAACGCTGATGAACCCAGCGGCTGTTTCTCCTTCTGCACGGCGTCCTTGAGTTGCTCAATGGACGCGCATCCGCGGCGCACCCGCGCCTTGATAAATTCACCCTTTAGTCGCGTCTTGTGGCGCTCAATGGCCTGGCGGATAGGATGCGAACTGGGCGCCGCGATGCCATTCTTCGCGAGAAGATGGTCGTGGACCAGGAGGAGAGCGAGAAGTGGTGTGAGCTATAATTTCCGGAAGAAAGAGATTAGATCACTTGCGTCAGTCAGCCAGGATAATTATCTCGTATTATCCGGTTTTCCTTCTTCCTCTTGAATCGACTACTGTCAAAATAGGGAAAGTAGGGAAGGCGTAAGACGAACCTTGGGCTCGAGTTTCAGGATGCCTGCATGGTCGATTACTTCTTTGAGGACGGTGTCCCATTTCGAGGCTTCGATGGTTAGGGCGTAGATTTGCGCGGGGTTGGCTTTGATGTTGCGGGCGTTGTAAATGCGGGATTTGAAAGAGCCGCCGGTTGGGGAAGGGCTTGTTAGGATCTTGACGGCGTCATAGTATAGAGACATTTTTAGTTGTTGCTCTTTTGGAGAGCTTTTGTGGAGTTGGTTGGTTTGGGAATATTTTTCTTTGCGATTGATTCAGTTGAAAAAAAGTGGTGTTTGCTTTGTTTGCAGATCTTATCATCGATTGTATAGCTGGAACTATTAAAGTAGTTTATTGCTGTTAATAAACAGAGTTTTTTTTTTAATTTTTTTTTTTTTTAACTTTGATTTATGTACGTTTATTTTGACTCTGTAGATAGTAATCCAGAGTGTTAAGTTTCCAGAACTATCCGATTGTCCTAGTAATGCGCTCATCGTGCATGTCAAGATATCCACCAAGTTCTCTTATCTCCGCATCTCCGAATTCTATACATACTACGGAGTACTGAGTAGTAGTATGTATGTGTATCCAACAGTCCAAACCCCACGCTTGCCCCTCTTCCATGGACGACCATTCACTCTAATTTAAAAAAATAATACTCTCCCAGTAGATTTCCCCAATACTCTCAAACTAGTCCAGAGCATTAAACAAATACCAATGAGCGATCAGCCACCAACAATCCCAATCACACCATTCAACTAGAAGAGAACAAGAAGAATGCCCGATAGATGAGCGATGTGAGAAGGGAGGGGGAGGAGCCGTGGGTGAAGATCACAAGGGTTGTGGTAGGGAATTCTGCTTTGGGGTGATTTTATGGTACACTCTAGCAAGGTTAGGGAGGTGGCGAGAGACAGCGGTGGATTGGGTTGGTCCTAGTGCATGCGCAGACGCAGGTAAAAAAAAAGCTTGTATCGATGGTTGGGATCTGAGATGGATCCAAGGTTTTTGTTTTGGGGTGAGAGGAATAATGATGAGATTGAGCATGTTGGATTGTGGAAGAGGGTGCAGTGAAAGGTTTCATAGAAGTTGAATGTATATAATACTACACTTATAATATACTACAGTGTTTACACATGGATAGACGTAGCTTGATAGATAGATTCTTGTATTGCATTACCAACACCTGTATTACCATAAGATCCTTCCATAAGCGCCAGAGAGTAAATCGTAAAAAAAAGATCGCCGTGCATAAGCAACATGACGGGGTATCCAGTAAGAGAGCAGAACGAAGATTAGAAAGAACAAACCCCCCCCCCGTTTCTATGACGATCGAGTGGTAGCGAGCTGAACGCCGGAAGAAGGAAGACATAAGCCGTAAAAGTGAAAACCAGATCCGAACACCGTGCAAAAGTAACCGAAATGCTAAATCCCAGATGGTACGCCGAAGCGAAAACCAAGTATGTTCTAAAATGCGCGTATGTAGAGCATGTCTGCGACAGCAGATGCGTCAAAAGAGTGGGGTCGATGGCACCAAAAGTGCATCGACAGCAAGTCTCAAGGGTTGAGTCAATTAGAAGGTGCTCCAGTTCCAGCCCCGAGGGATGCTGGCAGCAATCTCAGTGCTCTGACCCAGCATCGCAGTGAGTGCCTTCCTGGATTCATCGTCGATGTTGTCCACATGCTCCGTGGTCTCCTCGGCCACTTCCTCGGTCTTGATGTTCTGTGCCTCGATCAAGGTCTGGATCTTGTTGAGACGCTCGCTACGCGACTCCTCCCAGCGCTGGAAGGCAAGCCAGCACAGGTCGCACGCACGAGAGGGGACGCCTTCGGGGTGGAAGCGAGCCTCTTGGTCGAGAGGAACGACGTGGGGAGTGTGAGAAGAACAGAAGACATGACCGCAGTGGCGACAGTGATGGCGACGAAGGAAGAGACCGAAAGAGGAGCGGCATGTGGGCGAGTCACAGTTGGGAGAGGCTGAGTCCGCCTGTTGTAATGTCTTGTTAGCCACTGTGTTTATGGTCGAGTTGGACAAAAGGGAGGCTCCGCCCGGTCGGTGATATCAGATCACGCCATAATTCGCGATCCGATGATCCACGCGACATCCAAAGCCGTGCGCACGCCATACACGCCATATAAAGCACACACGACCCCAGATCGACCGGGCTTTGTTTGACAGAAAATAAGATTCTCGATTTGAACGTACCTTCCAGTGATCTCTAGTAGGAAGACCAGTGACTTCACCGAGATGCTCATGCTTCATCAATTCATCCTGGGCTAACTTGCTGATTCCATCGCTCACCGCACTCTCAATGGTGGAACGACGGGTCAGGGCAGGCTGGGGTTCCTCGCTGCCGTCATTCAAGCTATCGAGAGAACCATGGACACTGCGAGGGGGGGAAGGCGGAGACGGCTTCTGAGGACGCTCGGTCGGGCGCAAGGCAGCGGGAACATAGAGGGGTCCCTTGGGTGGACGTAACTGACGAGTCTGCAAGGGAAGATACTGCTGACGGGGAGAAGTAGGAGAGTTATTGGCGGTATTAACCGGAGACGGCTGGCCGTAGACCGAAATCTGGTTGGCAGGAGATGTGGTGGCGGTGAGAACGTGAGTAGCCATGATAACGTTTCGGTCAGATCACGAGATATAAAGTTGTACGTTGTGCTTGTAATCGTGGTTGGGGATAGAGAGCGGTGGAGAGAGACAAGATAGATAAATAAGATCGCAAGTGGAAAGAGAGAACAGAAAGTCGTCGTAATCGAGTTATCGTGGATATTATTATTATAACAATGGCAATCACAAGTGAATCTTTAGATCTTGAGTGGTGAATGGCGTAGAGTTGAAGTGAACCACTGAATCATTGCAAGTGGCAACCTAGATCGATGACGCTGTGAATGTCCCGAGAGGGTGGGGATTTGTTCGGCGGAAAGTAAATTCCCAGTAGATATTGGGTTTAGAAGGAAGATAGTGTGGTAGATATAGTTCTGGACGGAGATGATAGTGGCAAGTAGTGGAGGGTGATCCAAGCAACACTATATGATATGTCTACTTAGTCCAGGAAGAGGGGAGAGAGATAAGGGATGGAAAAGGCAGAGAGACTGCAACGATAATGATAGCGGGGAGAGGGGAGGGGGGAAGCTTTAGACTTAAAAGTCCTCTTCTCGAGTCTCGCGCGAGAGAAAGCCAGACAATTGAGATTAAAATAAAATCAACCAAAGCGAGGCGAGGTTGAGCACTGACTTGGGGGGACCTGGACCCGGGACGATTTTGCCATGCGTCGGTGGAGCAGGAGATAAAATCACTAGTCTTGTTACCTATACTTCGTTTATTATTGGCGTTCCTCCATCTCTCCGGATGAAAGAAAATAAAAATCATAATCATTAATAGGACTCCATAATAATAATAATAATAATAATAATAATAATAATAATAATTAAAATCATTTGACGAAAATCCTCCCCCCCTCTGACCAACAAGACAAGACTTTCCCAAGCCCGGTAAGGTCAATGAAACTAGAAAGTCCCGAAGAAATGTAACCAGTGGAGCCCCTTTGGAGATCCCCATCCAGTCGTTGCATTTCCATCTGTGCAGTTCCATTCATCATTACTTCACCGTTAACATTCTTTGCCTTGTTTTGTATAGATCATGATTTCTACTCTTCTTTCTTTCTTTCTTTTTTTTTTTTTTTTTTCTTTTACTTTCTCTTACCCCAGATCATTTTTGATGTAAGAATGATGGACCATCCGCAAGGATCGTCGTGTTTTCTCCCGTCTATTTCTTCGGGTAACGATATTATTTCGTGTCTCTTCCGTCGTCAAGGAAAGATTCCGATGGGGGCAGCCACACGCTAAACCACATTCGGAACGGTATTTTGCCGAGGAAGTGGAAGAAGGAAATGATGGCCGTTTCTGGTTGGGCGGGATTCCGCCGAGCTTCAAATCCCTACTAAACAATCTAATCAGGGAGGATTTTCCGTAATGTAATGTAGGATTGTTCTTCCGTCCCTCGATGAAAGTCCCCGAGACAAAATATGATCCATAATCTAGAAATTTATAATTAATCCGTCGGAATTAATTTAATTTGACTAGGTACAGATTTCTATTATACAATGCTAAATTTCCGGAATGAATGTTGTGGTATCTACTATCTAGTCTACAAAGGAACTAAAGGCAGTTCAGAAACAATGATGAACGGGTGGTACAGGAGATGCAACTCGGATGCCAGGAAAATCCAAAAGCGAATTAATCCCTTTCCCCGAAAACAACTAAAAAGTCATGATGACAACACTTCCCGATCCTGGGTCCAATCCCTGTCCCTCCCTTCTTGACCGCTTTTTACCTAAAGCATGCCATCGGCCCTCTCATCCATTCCCTGGAAATCCTTCCATCGATCATGATGCTGTAGTATTGACAGTATCAATCAATCAATCAATCACTCTGTGGCAAGAGGCGTGACGGGTTTCCCCTTTGAGGGTCATCTCCAACTGTCCACTGTCCACTCTCCCCACTTTTCAGATAGATCATGTAAGTTTGATTATCTAGTGTCTCCTTCGAGAAGTATAAGATAGTCAAATGAAGTAATGTTATTAGTCGTGGCGCCTGTTCCACCGCTTACCGTCCCGGTTACCCCGTCATTATGATTGATTGAAGTTGAGGCGGATCTCCAACTCCAAGCCGCCACCAGCAAATCAGCTGAAAGCTAGTAAGAGGAAGGGCGGCGAGTGTCTGGTGTGCAGGAAAACGGATCCACTAACCGAAATTACCTGGGCGATGATTGGCCAAACCACACAAGAGAGTCGCACATTGGGGTCTCCACATCCTGACGTCGGACCCACGGCTCAGCCTGACCGAAGGACTGGAGTCACTGCCTGGCTTTACTCTGTCGGGAAGAGTTCACGAGACTTTCGATCCCGTCGTTGCACCAAACGACCCCCCGAATCACACCCGATGCTACCTTTTTTCATGCCCACTACATTACATATGGATGATAACTCTTGGAAAGTTGGGATGTCGTACTACGGCAAGATGGAGTCAGAATGAATGAATGTAGAATACAAAAAGGGAAATAGTCGAGTCAAGTCATATATATATCCCTTGCGACAAACACAAACAAACAACAGGATGGCGGTGGAATTCTTGATGGTTTGTCCGACTCAAGCCCGTTCATTCCTACTACTCTTGACTACTACTAGTACGAGGATCGTCTCGCCGCGACCAGTTGGTCCAAACGGGACTGTTCAAGAGTGTGGAAGACTCAATGCAAGCAAAGGGCACCAGTTGGAGCGTTCCCACTTGGAGTTAGTCCACGAGATGAAAGATAACGCTAACGGGGTGGGAACCAATCAATCAAAGTGGGTCCCCTCTTGGCTCGCCTCCGGATTGGAGGCCTCCTCATCTCGTTATCGTCCGTCGTTCATTGGTTGAAATTCGTCAACCACGCTACGATTGGCCAGTGCTTCCGTGTCGTTCCTCGAGGTCAGCACGGACAGTCCCCGAAGTGAAATGATTGAAACCTCGATCGCCTGCTCATCCTCGGGGCAAAGACATCCCATCGATAGAGGCGAACACCTTCTCTCGAGAAACATTATGTAACGAATACTGCTAAACTACTCTCCTGCCTCGGGTCCACACCCGAGTCCCGACGGCCCACGACTGAACCCGGTTCGCCCTGCCGTAGCTTCTACCTCGGCCGTTTGATTTCCCTGGTCTCAAATGTCAGCCAGATGAGACGTTAATGCGACCTTGCCAATATCCCTGTCTAGTGTCCTGCGTCCGGATGCGCCCTGATTGGAACAGTCGTCGGGCTGAACGAATGCCACCAACCACCGACTTTTCCCATAGTCCCGAATATTCTAGCACCCGAGTCTAAATGGGCTACCGCACCTGTAAGACATCCGCGGACTTACATTATTGTTGCTTATTGTGTCGTGCCGGCCGTTTGCCCGGGATCCAGCCCGGTCTGGAAGGCGATCCCTGACAAAGCACATAACGACCGAGACCATTGGGAGAGATGCTTCGTCTTGCTTTTTCTCTCGTCTACTCTATCTGGATCTGTACCTGGTTATCTTCTCCAAATTCGATAGGTTAAATTAAATCTTAAAAACATTTACCCGGGATCAATAACATCAACATCGTATAGCGAGGGAGCACACAGCTCTTTACTCAAAACAGCAGAACCACAACAACCTCCCCAAAGCGTGCCTGAGACGACATGGAGCCAAAAAAAAAAGCCACATGCGACCACGGGATCCTTCCATTCCCATTCCATTCTCGTTCCATAAAAAGCAGAACCTAAAAA